TTATAAACAGAAGGAAATATGCGGAAAGCATACGTTATATGATTTGTGTTCTACCAGGTTTGTGTTGTAATATCGTAGAGTGGTGCATGAATATTATATGTGCTCATACATCAACACACATACCATACACATCTTCTCCTAGAGATACATGTCGAGTCATATATTTCTAAAATTTTCAATCTACTAAAATTATTATTACATACTATACAGAACTGTTATTACATCTGTATCTAATTTTTCATGTTTTATTATTTTTTCAGCACCAGTAATAGGAAATTTAACAGATGAGATATTAGAGCAATATTATCTTTTGCAAGATGCTTCGGCTCAGCAGAATAATGCAGTTGGGTCAAATGTTCCTACAAATACGCCAATGCGGGATTTAGAAATTAGTGGAGATCTTAATCATCGGGAAGATATTACTCCTAGGAGATCTGGACCAGTCGGTAATGATAATAGAAATATGTAGTCAAAACAATCAAAAAATTTTGTATTGATTTTGGAAATTTTTTCTATAATTACTAAATATTATGAATTGTGAGTTCTCAAAGTTGACCTTTATTTTATGTGGTTAAATTTTATTAATATTATTTTAATTATAACAATTTTATTAATATATTCATTTATTTTTAGGTCACACCCAAGCTTATGTTGGTTTAATCACAGGAGCTTTGGCAGTTTTGGCCCTTGCATTAGCTTGCACAGTTTTCTTGATGATCCGACGAGGTCGTAAGAAAGTTGCTTTACTTCACAAACATACTGCACTGGTATCCTCAGGTAAATTTGCGAAATTAAATTTCAATATAAAATAGATTTCAGTATAGTATAGAATCTTATGATTGCCCTTACCTATATCTGCGCTTTCTAGAAAATATTATATTTATTGAGATTTTGTATTACAATGAAAACATTTTATATATCAATGAATCAAACTTTATTTACAACCTTTCCGTCTTCACAATGTAGCTGAAGCACTCTAATAATTTTATTACGGTTTTCCAGTTATCGGCAATATAAACTTGTGCACAGCGAGCATTACATACATCAAACTTGAAAATTTAATAGATTTTTTAGAACTAAAACTTTTTACAGGGGGTGGTTCTTCCGCACCTGGTTTAGTAGGATTATCAGGACTGGCCGGGGGCAAACAGTGTCAAGGAAATGCTGCTACGATTACTATGAAAGAATTGCAGTTGCATTTGTCTACACCAGTGCTGACATCTCGAACCAGATTGACATTAAAGGTAATAAGAAGAATTATTTTATATGCCGATAAAAAACATTATTTTAGTAACAATAATTTGTCTGCTTACTTGAAGGCTCCACCGTATGGTGACGTCGCCCGGAAGTCCCCAGCCGCAGCTCCTCAAACTGTGACGACACCGCCGCCAAATGCGGCGCCTTTGGCAGAAGATTCTGATAGTGAAACATCATCAGTATATCACGAGCCTTACAGGTAAAAAATTAAACGTCATATACATCTCTTATAAACAAAACATAGCTTCCTTTCATGTACAATTCCTTTTATTATTTATATACAAACATTTGTATTTCCAAACTAAATTAACGATTTCGAGTGCATATTACTAAGTTTTCAATATATTTTCAGGCTTTTGCCGTCGTCTCTGAGCGGAGTCTCTGGAGGAAGCAAAGCTACTGAATATGGCTGTCTACTGCGTAAGGATAATGGAAAGACGCAAAATGTTGACGGCAAAGGTGAGTCACTTATTTAACTTTGTCATGAATATTTATACTATATTTATCTCTGCATTCTCAAACTCACCGGTTATGCTCCTTTAATTTTCTAAGTGCCTAGGTATACACATGAATATCCTTTCCTGCAAATTCATTTCAGTTTCCGTCATTCAACTATTTGGTTAATTACACAAATATCTCCTAGTGTGTACATCATATCAGCATTCCACGAAACGTTCATATTGTTTCCAAGTGCTGTGTGCGTTTCTTTCTCCGTCTGTCTCCTGTCAGAACAGAAGTTTCTCTGAGATTCGGGACGTCTGATTTTCCCGCCACGGTATCAAAACTCGAGCGCGTGTGTTGCGCTTTAATTAACGTCTTATCGCAAACGTTCCGCTAGATTGACGCTTAGCACCTTAACCCTGCCTTATGCCCTGAGAAAGGTAATGAGGGAGCTGGAAAAAATATAAATGATACTATTTGTATATAATAACATAAGGATCAGAAATCTTTTATGATGCATTTTTTGTCTAAAACATTATTCAAAATAGCGATTATAATAAATGCATCTCATGATGTTTGAACACAATTGTTCTCCCTTTTTCTCGATCTTATTTATGATCTATGTAGTTTATATCTGATTTGATTTTTTTTTAATTTAAAATGTATAAGGCTGTCGTTATAAAATATATAAATATTAATTAATGTTTGATCACAATTTTTAAACTTTTTACCTTTTCTGTCCAATTGTACCTATGTCAATAAATATTGAAGAAAAATATGTTGTACGCTGATAATATCACATAAACATGGATGAAGTAGAATACTAATTCTTGTGTATGATCTACTTGCGACTAAATATATACATTAATTAAATATAGTGTCAGCTTATAATTTTCTCAAAGCAAATTTGAGACGTAGATGCTTTCAATGATTTCGGAAAATAACTAGTGGGGTGTATGGCGTCGTGCCTTAAGCAGAAAGTTTTGTGAATCATTTGAATCAGACGCTTAGTTCTTTTAAAAACTGCAATTTTTTTGCACATTTAGCTTTGTATCTTCAAAATGGCTGGTTCTGCCTTTGCCAAAAACTAATAACAACTTGTAACCACTTCTCCCAATCATTACTAATTAAATATTTTTTAGATGATTCAAATCGGATGCTCCGTTCTCTCAAAAACTCGATTTCTATTTTCTGCACATTTTGCTCTTTATATCCGTAACTGCTGGACCTGCCTTTGCCAAAAACTATTTAGCACATCTCTCTATCAATAGGAATCGATTATTTTTTGAACCATTCAATTTTGGTTGATCCGTGCGCCCTAAGGTATGCCAAAATGTTCAGAAACCTTCAAAAAGTCGAGAAATGGAAAAATTTTCAATTTCGATTTTTGGACGATTACAATAACTTACCTTACGGGAAGTTAATAATTAAAAAAGCAATCAATTGATTCTGGTAGGTTTATAATTTTGTATATGTATTTTTTACTTCTGGTAGGTTTATAATTTTTTATATGTTTTTTTTATTTCATGGTGAATTATTGACCCTTGCTTTAAAAGCATTCGGGCTCCAAAAAAAATTAACACTAGTCAGAATGTGTGCTATAAATTTTTTTTCATAATTATGCAGAGCTTTTTCGGGTGTAGTCAAATAGGCGCTGTACTATAAAGCGCGAGTTGAGGTATCAAAGTAATAGAAGTATTGTTTTTAAATAAGAATATATTTAATAAATTATATTGTAGCTTAAATGACTATGATTTATGACCATGATTATAAATATCGTTTTAGAGAGCTATTAAATAATTTCAATAATATTACCAAAATACATATTGTTGCCAATATATTTATACTAATCATCACGTTTATAATATATTTAAAAGTTTACAAAATATCTAATCACTTTATACTCTGACAGGATAACTATTTTAATAGCGACCTGTTAAACAATTCATAAAATTAAATTTTGGAGAAATGATAGCTTCTGTAAGTGTTTTTTTATTGATTTAATTAAATAAATGCAGGGTATTTGATATTTGTAAAAAATATTTTAAATTTCAAATGTTAACTGAATTATCTTTTAAGCTAAATTTTTTATCAATACTGTCATACTTCATAGGGGTAAAACTTGTTAACTTTATTAGATTGAAAGATTCCAAATGAGTTAGATAATATCTAAGGTCTATCCAGGAAACTATAACGTTTAAAGAGCTACATACACAACAAAGTTTCTAATACTATTATCTGAGATTGATGACACCTCAAATTTTAGGGACTAGATTATGTTTTAAGATATACCTAAACGATCAGTGTACTCATTATAGCATCAACCCTTTTCTGTATATAAATATGATATGCCTTCAAAGAGGAAATTTAAGTTTGATGATATAGGCAGTAGTCGTGATTGCTTACTAAGAACATATTTTTTTACAAATACTTGAAAAATAAATAGTTATATATAACTCAAATTGAATTCTTTGAATCATTACTACTTAAACGTATTAGTATCATCTTATTTAATAACATATATTTTTATCCTTGATATAAAGCACGTCTTTCAGTCTGTAAGCTTTTTGCAAACCATACATCTCGTTTTTGTAGAGAAAATATAATCTTTAGTAAAGAAACACACGTTTTTGCAACTGAAATACTGTAAGCTTCTTATATTATATTTTTTATGATAAAACTTAGATTTTTATGAATAGTTCTTAGCACTGAACATATCTGTACTTATTTTTGAAAGAACGTAGTAGAAATACATCTAGAAAGAGGGTGACTATTTATAAAGGGTATAAACTGACTTACAGAAATTAACATTTTGTGTAATATAGAAAATATTTATATTTATTATCATAAATAAGATTTTTCCAATCAAAAGCATTTTCAAAGTTTGTAATTATCTTCGATTTAAATGTTGAAAGTGAACCAAGCTATATAATGCAGAAATTCTTTCGAATTGTAGTAGAAATAAATAAATTTTTACTTTAATTTAGAACTATTGGAAATAAGCTTTTTATATTATTTTTGTAACAGCTTTCTATCTTAATAGCAAGAGCACTCAAAAAAAAGTTATCAAAAAAACATTTTCATTAAACTCTTCAATTTCTTCCAGTCTTATTATCTCTGGATGCGTACAAACTCTAAAACTTTTCCCTCGCGTCGTGTTTTAAAGTTTCTCAGCAAGATTAGTGAAATGAATTACGTTGTTGTTATTAATAATAAATATTAAATTAATTAATGCTCCCAAGACTGATAAGAGGCGACTGTTTTCACTTCATGTCTTGCGTTTTGATTAAAATTAACACGGACATGCAACGCAAAGTCTTTCGTTATTTAAAGCTTCAAAGAAACATTAACCTTCTTTGAGATGCAAGTCAAAACATGAGAAGTTTTAAGTTTTTGTAATTTAGATAAGTACACCGGAATACATAGACAAGGATTTATTTTTTATAATAAGGTACACAACTTAGAGCACATTTCAGTATTACGCTTTAATAGAAATATTTTCAAAAAATATTATGCTCATTTACTATATGTTTTGTACCATAAATATTGAACAGTGAAGCTGGAGGCTTGTTATAACAGTTTTTTTTAGAAAGCTGATTCTATTTCTTCGGTATAAAGCTATATATACACTATAACTATTCCTCTACCAAATCAAATAAAATTAATTTCATAACTATATGGTGCCAGAAATTCTTATCACAAATCAATGTAAACTATATGTAATACAAATAAAAGTTATAGTCAGATCTTATGAACTGGACGTATTATGATTGTTCAATTTTATATCAAATGTCCAAATCGAAAATGAAAATGTTTGCTTATGTTCACGTTTCAGTAGTTTCTGAACATTTTGGCATACCTCAGCAAATATTCGTCCACGGTTTCGGGCACACGGATTAACCGATTTGAATGATTTAAAAAACATTTGATTTCTATTAATAGGAAGATGTGCTGATTAGTTTTTGGCAAAGGCAGGTCTAGCAGTTACGGAAATACGGAGCTAAGAGTGCCGAAAATAGTAATCGAGTTTTTGAGAGAACGAAGTGTCTGATTTAAATGATCCGAAAAATTTTCAATTTGTAATGATTGGGAGATATTTTGTTTAGTTTTTGGCAAAGGCAGGTCCAGCCGTTTCGGAAATACCAAGCTAAATGTGCGAAATATGGCATTTTTGAGAGAATTAAGCATGATTTGAATGATTCAAAAAACTTACTGCTTGTTTTGACGAAACGATTGCTTTTGGAAAAATTTTTTTTTAATTTCCAAAAAACATTTTTTTTGAATATCGAAATTAAACCAAATTTAATTGTTTTTCTAGCTAACGTTCTAAATCTCACTAATATGATTTTTTCTTATAATATGTACAACAATTTTAACTTTGCAATTCAGTTTATATAATTCCTATAAATATGACTTCATTCTAAATTCGATTGATTAAGTTTTGTTTATTCAATTTTGTGTAAACATATATATAAGTTACAGTATTTAAAAAATAATCTATTTGAAAGCATTTAATATTCCTCAAATATTTAATTACGGTACAGGAAGTTCCAGAAATTTGTCTTAAGGCACGATGCCATGGGCCCCACTAGTTTCACATTTATTTGCAATGAATATTCAATATGTCATTGGTACATATTCATCATGCATTTTATCTTCATAACTATTTTATCCAGTTGTATGTATTTCTTATATTTGCAATGATACCTAATTTTATTAATATATTTGCTTCATAAGCATTTATAATAAAGAATCCTAATGAAACTTTTACAGTTCAAGTTTTCATGCGAGGAATATCCCACACGAAGATTGAAAAAAAATGGCCATACGATTTTAAATAAAATGTCAAAAATAAAAAAAGAGAGATATCTCAGAGGAGATAATCTCTTAAATGCATTAACACTAACATCATATCGTCTTGAAAAATTTTTACAAAAGTTGGAATATATGAGTATTAAAACAAATAGCTATACGTTAATTTATGAAACCTCATGACCATTTAATTCCTACTGCTGAAAATTCAATATATCATGGATGTGTTTGAACAAGTTAACTTGTATAAATACCTTTAAGTCTCTCTTATGCAACTCGGGTTCAGTTTATCAAAATATGATCCGCTTTGAGAAAGATATAAGCTCGTTCGCCTTTAACCGCAATTCCATTTACAATTGACAATTTACACAGCACAATGTCATACAGCTCTCGTCTGTAGTGATACTATATATTTGCAATATCATTTAATTAAATGTTCATCATCAAAGTCTAAGTAAAGTATCTTCAAACAATTCAGTCCGGGGAGTTCATCGTATGTGACAATATCCAGAGAATTGCGCACGTTTTCTATGCAAACAAATTTTGCGGCTGTTCAAACGACGCGGCGGCGTCTACTTGAATTTCTGAACTTGTTCCTGCTGCTATTACCACCGGCTCGAAAATGGGGACTGAGATCATATTTTTGCCTATGTGCAGGTTGAGAGTTTACAAGAGATAGAATTGAATAAAAATGAACTATACTTACTGATAAATGTGACAGTAATTCAAGACAATTTATTAAAAAACTACTCTCTCTTTAGGTGGATTTTTCAATGAAATACAACTACTTTCAATAGAAAATTCAATAATTTATCTTAACTCTAATCTTACATTTTTTGCTTTCAATACATTGTATTTAACAATCTCTACACAATAATATAATAATATACAATATGCGTTCAACTTTTCTGATCTGCTGACATAACAACTTACTATTAACCGCTAGTTACAAATATCATAATATATTCACAATATTTTTAATATTAAATTTGTAGTATATTTTTTATTGAATGCTTTCAAATGTTTTTACTATTTTTTTACAAATATGTGTAGTTAAAAAATTACTGAACATATCGAAAAAGTATAACAGATCTTTGCACCGGAGTCAATTTGGTAAAATTGGTTGTAAAGCTTTCAATTCAAAAGGCATGATGTGTTAAATAATATTATAATTTTGATTAAATAATAAAATAACTCTAGCAATAAAATAGCATTTTTTAAATTCCAGCTACGTACATAAGTACAATGATTATGCACTATATTTCTAAATTTTTAGTTTATTTTTTCTAGTTAGAAGTATACCGATACAATTTGTTACTTTTTTAAAAACTTTTGAAATGATAGTTATAATTAACTTAACATCTTCTACATTGTCAAAGCTCAGAATTAATTAACAATTTGAATACTCAATATTTCTATTTTATCTTACCTTTTTTGCTTGTATTCATATAAATGATACTGAAATTAATTATTAATTTTTTATATAAAATTTCGATCAATTATTGTAAATATTATTACAGGATGTCTAAAGTAAAATAATTTCTTTTTTTGTTTATTAGTATTAGTGAATTTCTGATAATAAAAATATTTTTTTTTACTTTTATTGATATCACAATTAGCAACCAAAATAAAACAATTAATATTTTTTCTTAACGAAAAACGTGTATTTTTACTTTTCTTGTAATTCGTATATTTTCTTCTTCATTTTGATCATTACTTTCTTAACATTATATTGTTATAACATAATATATGTTTGCAAGTACCTAATTTTCGTGATATTTCATTTTTATAATGATAAGGTAATCTAATTATCTTAACTAAATATTAATTTTATACCCTTAAACACCTAAAATGAAGACTTTTTGTTATTTTTTGTACTACATGTATCCGGTATGAGGGAAATTAATAAAAAATTTGAAGCCATTAAATTTGTCTTCTAAAATCTTTGTTAAGGAGAAAATTTAGCACAAAAGCTCGTAGAACTATGAACTATCTAACAACTGATAAAAAATAAAAAGAATAGTATCATTTTGTATGCTAAATTTCCTCCTTGACTAACTAAATATAAAGATGTCGTTGTTTCCAGATTACAAAACACTTCAACAACGCCATACCCATAATTCAATTTTTTACTATGTGGTTTTGATTCTTATTTTTATTTTTATACAAAAACTACCTAGACTGTGAACGATAATTTCGACTAAAACAAAAATATCCAGAAGGCAAATTGATTCAGTAATGCATGTAGTTCTTAGCCGCGGGTATAGGTATGTCATGTAATATGTAGGATATGTAAAATCACGTGTGCTAAGACAATATTTGCATTTAGCCGAAATTGGTTCCGCAGACATTACTTTACAACGTACACACACGTGCGACCAAGTATTAAAGACTCTCGACTTGCTAGGGGGGCCCAAACTTTATAAAGGGTGTAAAAGAAAATTATAAGGACTTGGATCAAATGACAGAATATATATTTAGAACTCACTAATATCATTGATATTTTATATATACATATTTGTATATTAGTATATTAGTAACTGATTAGCAGCTGAACATTACAACATATGCCAGGCTAGATCTTTTGTCTGGGTATGTTGGGCTCAATACCGCCTGGGTATAATACTGACAAAAGGCTTCGCTTGCTTCTTATACCAATAGCAACCACTGTTATTCATTTTTTTATGGGGGGAGGTTCTAGAATTCAATATTTCTCACTCTTTGACCTAATTGGTCTCATTCGCCCTTCTTCTGTTTGAAGTAGATTTATGTGTGCCTGTATATATTTGTAGGTTTGTATACACATATGAAGTTTTTGTGTTCTACAATTTATTACAAGACGTCTGTGTCCATAAAAATTGCAACATTTTTATGGCTACCATATGTTGCGTCCTATTGTATAAATATATTTTCTTTAACTGAATAAGTTACGAGGAGGAACATATAAGCATGAGTGATTGCCAAAATAAAATTCGTGGAATATATGTCAACATAATTAATATTTGATATGTTCCTTCTTCTGCCCGAATTGCTACATATTTTTTTTGTATAATGTTTAAGACTTTATTTATGTTTATGTGATGAAAAAATAAAAGACAGGAGTATATCAGATGCTTGAGATCTTATCAAATTTTGTAACTTTCAATTATAAATTTTATAAAGTTGCTGATGCCTCTTCTCTTGAATTTTTATTCTGCTATTAAATAATTATTTCTGGGCCATGTACTCTCAGTTTATATTTAACTCAATGCGTGGGCATATCTAAATTTCATATAACAATCATAATATTTCGTTATTGTTATTTTTATTAAAACCTTTCTCAAAATCATCTCCAGTGGGAGCGAGCAGAAGAAAATGAAACCCGCCAGGAATTTTAATTGCACTCTCGATGTTAAAATAATACAGTAACGAAATTATTATTTTATTATTATGCTAATGCTGTTGCGAAATAGCAAAAGGTTCCTTGGTTTGTTTTATTAAATCTTCCGTTTTTCTGGGCCATGTGCCAGTTGCAATGTTTTCGAATGTTATCATGACATACGATTCGAGTCTTGTTAATTAATTTTCGAGGAGCAATCTTTTGAAAAAATTATAAATTCTGAAACCGTACTCGTCTCGACACAAATAAAAAGATTTGTGTTTTGACAAGATCGAAACGTCGGCAGAATTTTTAGATATTAATTATAAATGGATTCATAATTTTGTGCTGTTTGAAAAAGAAACTGTAATGGAAAAATGAAAATTTTTAAAATCAAGTTTACCTAGTGGTGTATCGTACCTTAAGGCAAATTGTTGGAACTCGAGGAATATTAAATGTTTTCAAATAGATTATTATATAAGCTGAAACATGGTCTAATATTTATAAAATGTATATAAAATGAATTATAGAATAAAAATTATTTATTTAAAGTATATAGGTGAGCTCTAGAGCTTTAGCCAGAATTAAAATTAAAATCTGAATTATTTTCGATATACAAAAAAAAATTCTGAAAAATAAAAAAATTGAAGTAAATTATTTTTTGTCCAAATGCAATTGTTTTGCAGAAAATTTTTGAATATTCAAATCGGATGCTTAGTTCTCTCATAAACTGCTTTTTTTGTACATTTAGCTCTGTATCTTCGAAATGGCTGGACCTGCCTTCACGAAAAACTAATCACTACTTCTACCAATAATTAGAAATGAATGTTTTTTAGATCATTCAAATTTGATACTCCGTTCTCGCAAAACTCGATCTCTACTTTCTGCATTCTTTACTGCCAAAAACTAATCAGCACATTACCCTATCAATAGGAATCGAATGATTTTTGAACGATTCATATCGGTTGATCCGTGCGCTCGAAAACGTGGACAAAAAATTGTATCAATTCGTACATACACACACACATCGATTTTTTCTGAAGTATGCCAAAACGTGAAGAAATGCAAAAATTTTCATTTTTGATTTTTGGCCCATTACTATAACTTATCTTACGGGAAGTTAAAAATAAAAGTTACTTCATGAATTTTTGGTTTGTCTATTATTAATTCCGCATCCAGGATTTCGTTAAATATGCAACACCATCAGAACACAAACCGAACGTCATGGGCTATTCATATGGTCGAAACAATTTGTTGATTTTGCTGCGTCCGACGTTAATACCGCGTCCAGATTTAAGCAAATATGTTATTAATGAAATTGTTTATATTCCACAATACACAAAGCGCTCTAAGCTTACACTGGCTTCATCAATAAATACGAAATAGGAAAAATCACAATGGATGGTTCCGTACTCTAAAACCATGACATGTCTAATTAATATTCAAATACTGAAATAATTACATGATGTCGATCATTACAAATTTGGATCGGAAATTGCGTATTAATAATTATTGCAAGAGTCGATGACGTATCGCTGCATTGCAATTATTGAAACGGAAACTTTTATTTATAATAATTCAGAGCAGATTACTGCTGCAATTAATTAACCGGCTTTGTGAAAATGCATATGCAAGCAGAAATTAATATTTACATGATATTCATCAATCAGATAAACAGCTACGAGGTGATTGAAATAATTGAATGAAATTAATTTATATGAAACATGATAATATAAAATCTAGCACGCATTTGCAATATTATTAATTGATTAAGCAAACGTTCAAGTCTTCAACATTGGCTGAAATATCAATTAAAATAATATGGGTTAAAAATTTCCCAACAACTTGTTATGGATTATGCAACGTATGATCGATTCAGCAACTCGTAATCGATTATGCATATTTTCCAGAATTTTGCTAGCCTGATGTAAGGTTTGTGATATTGTTATTGCTAGTCGATTTGTTGATGGATTTCGGAACTTCTTGTCGATTTCGCTACTTGTTATCGACCTGTATTCAATTTCACGATTTGCTATCGATTTCGCGACTTATTTTCGATTTGGAGACCTGTTATCGATTTCGCAACTCATCATCGATGTTGCGACAAATTATCGATATCGCGACTTATTATCGATGTTGCGACTTGTTATCGATGTCGTGACTTATTATCGATTTTGCGACTTATTATCGATGTTGCGACCTGTTATCGATTTCGCGACTTATTATCGATTTCGCGACCTGTTATCGATGTTGC